CACAGTCGGATGGTCTATTCTCCTGTTTCTGTCCCCGGGTACATGGCACACAGTATACACAGTCGGATGGTCTGTACTCCTGTTTCTGTCCCCGGGTACATGGCACACAGTGTACACAGTCGGATGGTCTATTCTGTTTCTTAAACAGATGCTCTGCTGGGACTGAGATATGTGAAAATACCACTGCTGGGCCATATTTCCTCTCTTCACTCCTATTTCATGTCAAACACACCCTAACTCTTTCATTTTTCCTTGTGTCTAGAATGCATTTCATTGGTAACCAGTACTTCTTGGGTAACTCGTTCTGTATTTTATACACATGTATAAAAATTTTCTACATCCATTTCTTTTTATAAATCTGTGTGCATTGGTGGTGACCATCAGTCCCACCTTCTCATGGTAGATGATTTTGTCCAGGAAACTAAGACATTTTCCTTTCCTGTAAGCAGATGAAAATGGTGATACTGAAAAGCAGAAAGCAGGCTGCTAAATTCTAATCATGCAAGTGTAGGAGAGTTAGGTTATCCCTGACCATTTAGAAGAACTATCCATTTTCGCCTGGCAGCAGTTGGGCACACCTTTAATCCCAGCACTCTGGAGGCGGAGGTAGGCGGATCTCTGAGTGAGTTCTAGGTCAGCCTGGTTCCAGGGACAGCCAGGGCTACACAGAGAAACCCTGTCTCAAAAAAAAAAAACAAAGAAAGAAAAGGAGAGAGAGAGAGAGAGAGAGAGAGAGAGAGAGGAATGAGGGAAGGAAGGAAGGAAGAAAAAGAAAGGAAGAAAGAAAGAAAGAAAGAAAGAAAGAAAGGAAGGAAGGAAGGAAGAAAGAAAGAAAGAAAGAGAAAGGAAAGGAAATACTAATTTTATCAGGTGGACCATAAGGCAGCCTCTAATTTTTTTTTGGAATCTTTTTCTTCTTCCCAAAGATCTCTCATGTCTATGATCCGGAAACGATCCCACCCCAGTGGCAGCAGTGCTAAGAAGGAAAAGGCCACTCAGCCAGAAACAGGTAAGCTTGCTTGGCCTCTGTTGGGTTTCCTTGAAGTGAGTGTTGGTGGAGAGCTTGTCAATAGACTCTGTAGAGCCTGTGGGAAGAGAAGAGTAAAGGACCACAGGAAGACACTCAATAACGGGCACTGCCTTCCTGTAGCTCATTGTCTAGAGGAGATCAGCTGTGCCCACGTCCCTCACTACAAATAGAGGGTTTTAAATAATTTGCTTTTGTTTGGGAACAGGTCATTTGGGGCAGGTGACAAAAGGGAGTCGAGATCTTATCAAATATCTTGTCGTGCCTCTCGTGCTGACCACCCAAGACACTGAAGTCACATTCTGTGTACTTAGACATGGTGTAAACAAGCGGCTCTCCGTGTAAATGTGACAGCATTCAGTACAGTCTTTGGGAAACACTGAGAAGAAGAACACGTTTTTAAGAAACTATGATGACAGATTGCTGGCGTCAAATGGCAACATTCAAGTTGATTTGGAGCAGAAGTGAGTGGGTGCTGAGGGTGAAAGTTGCTCAGATAGCACAGTGGTAGGTTCAGAGGGCTGAGCAGGGAAGGAGCTTTGTATACCATAAATCCGAGCACTCTGCGTCTTTGACTCAGGAGACAGGGAACAGGTTTTTAAGGCAGTGCTAAAGATTCAGATTTTTTTTCTCAGAATAAGAGAACATTGAAGTAGGGATGCCGTGAGATTTATATTCGCTAACAGTCACTCTGGACGAAGTTTGGGAAGAGCAAAGACAAGAAAAGAGAAGGGTGGCCATGGCAGGCAGACAGAGGAATGCTGATGCCTTAGACTAGGAGTCTCAGACAGGGTGAGAGCTGTCTAGACAGAAAACTGGATTCAGGAAGTAGGTACTAGTCATCCAGCTAGGAAGGTAGAGTGCACAGCATCTTGAGAGTCGCTGGAAACGCAGGTCTAGGACCATGTGAGATGGGCTGGAAGGAGAAGGACCTAGGCATTGAGCAGAGATACCCGTGGCTGACTCAGAGCCCATGCACCGAGCTCAGAGGGCAGCGGGCATGAGAGAAGAGCTGTGAACTGGGCTAGATCCTGACCCACTGTGCCTTCCTTACAATGTCAAGCCCAAACTAGAACCAAGACAGTTGCTCAGCACATGTTCCAAAGCTCTCCTGAACTTGCCAGCCACAGATCCAGACCTGTAAAAGGTTTGGGGCCCCTTTGCTTTCTCCAGTCTGGCCATTTGCATCACACTGCAGTGTGACTCTCTCAGGTCACAGTTAATTGTGTTTCCTAGGTCTTAGGGCACGCCTGTGCTTCTCACATGGTCAGTCTAGAACCCCAAGTCCCCAACCCTCTGCTTTTGCTTTCCTTGTTCCTCTTAAGTCTGCCCCACTCCCCGGAGCCCTCCCTTTTCCCTCGTTGACACTGGCTGCTTCTGGCTGTATTCTGCTGCTCCTGTAGCCAGAGCCTCAGCAAGCTACTGTTGGAATTCTGCATCCTCCATGCTGTGTGCCCACAGGTCCTCCTCTGCCTCCACTTACTTATTAATATGTATAACCCACACAAGTGGTTCATTAGCCAGTTCTAATTTGATTTCTGTTGGTGGCATAAAAACACTGGCCAAATGCAATACAGGGGGAGGAACAGGTTTATTTCCGTTTACAGGGTAAAGTCTGTGACTGAGGAGAGTCAGGGCAGGAACTCAAGCAGGAGTTTTCCATAGAGGAAAGCTGCTTGCTGACTCACAGGCTTATACGTAAGTCATACCCCCCATACCCTATACCCCGACCCCTCCACCCTCACCTCTGTAGCTCTGGCTGGCCTGGAACTCACAGAGATCAGCCTGCCTCTGACTCCCAAGTGCTGGGATTAAAGGCATATGCCACAATTCTGGTTTAACTAGCTTTCTTATACAATTCAGGATTGTAATGACATTTCATTTGCATTTTAATCATTAAAGATTGCCTGAGGTTCCGAGAGTAAAACAGCCACACTGATCAGTTTTACAGACCAGGCAGTAGTGACACACACCTTTAATCCCAGTAGCCACACTAGTTTGCCATAGAAACCGGACGGTAATGATGCACACCTTTAATCCCAGCACTAGAGAGGATTATAAAACAGGAGGAGACAGCTTTCATAGTCTCATTCTGAGGTTTCTGGAGGCAGGATCGCCATTTCGGACTGAGGTAGAGGTAAGAACCAGTGTTTGACTATTTTGCTTTTCTGACCTTCAGATTGAACCCCGATTTCTGTCTCTGAGTTTTCCTTAATCATGATACACAGGATCACCTGCCCAGGGATGGTGTGACCCACAGTGGTCTGGGCCTTCCCACATCAATTAATAATCAAGACAATCCGCCACAGGCTAATCTGATCTGGGTAATCAGTTGAGGCTCCCTTTCCAGCAATTCTGGGTTGTGTCGAGTTGATGGTAAAGCTAACTAGGATATCTGATTCGCTTTTAATTCCATCGCTTTAAGAATTTATTGACTGTTCCTCAGCCTATGCTGGGCTCTGGCATTCAAGTCATTTCCACATATTCGGTCTGCTCTCTGAGTGTGCGTGTGTGTGCATGCGTGTGCATGCATGTGTGTGTGTGTGCGTGTGTGTGTATGAGTGTGTGTGCATGCTGGTGTCTGCACATGTGTGGGTGCAGATGTGCAGGCTTGTGTGTGTGCAGAGGCTAGAGGAGAACATCAGATGTCCTGCTCCATCACCCCCCTCCGTATTTAGTTGAGAATTCTCTTATTAAACCAGCCAGCAACTAGATTGGCATTCAGCAAGCTCCTTCAATCCTCCTTTGTTTGTCCACCAAAGTGCTGGGGTCATAGGCACTCGGAGCCAAACTCAGTTTTTTACATGGGTTCTAGGAATTTAAACCCAAGTCCTCATGTTTATATAGTAAGTGTTCTTACCTACTCAGCCATCTCTGCAACCCCATAATCCCTTTTGGGGAGAGGCAATACTGTAGTCAAGAAATTTCTTTAATTTTATAACCTGTAGGTCAATTCTAAACTTATTCAAACATAATGTGCCCTTTTGATAGTTTTTAACATCACAATGTTTAACATCTTCTTAAAAATATAGCAAAACAGGGAAGTAAAAATAAATTTCATTTCTTCTTGGTAATAACCAGAGATTTGATTGAGTACTGAGGTGTCAGTTTTGTCTCTGGGTCTCTCTCTCTTCTTCTAAGATCTAAGTTATTTTCCAAGTGGGTCTTAAAATTTAAGCCCCAATTAATTACATGTAGCTTTCTGATCCAAGACTGACCTTGAAGCGCTAACTCAAAGAACCTTTGATTTTTTTTTTTTAGCCCGTGGCAGTTCAATAACATTAGACCTGTTGTCTTCATTAGTCCCTTTTCTCTAATCTCCAGCATCCTGCATATTTCCATTGTCCCCCTGATTACATGCTTTTGTGAGACAATTACCAACTGTGTGATTGCAAAAAGAATTACAAAACATACCATGAGCGCTCCCTGGGTGATTCGTGCCAGTTTATTAGAACTGCTTAATAGTTCAGAAGTTCATATAGATTGCTTTTTGCTATTTCAAAAACAGGTCGGTGAGACGAAGGAAGCTGTGCAGCTAGCTTAGTGCTGCCCTTGTGTTGCGCCTGAGTAGGGAATCTGATAAGAGTGATTTCTTTTCCTTAAGACCAATTAAGCCTTTATATTTGGGAAAAAAGGCTGAGAAATTAAAGCCTGGTTTATAATCTGTGCATAATACAGATAGTGGCACTTCTCTGAATTGTCACTATGATTCTGGCAAGCAAATATAAGGAACTACTTTAAATTCCTGCTGGTAGATGCTGTAGCAGATTTGAATGGTGGTGGCCCGTAATTCTCCATCTGTCTGCCTTAATTACTTTTTGTATGGTGCATTTAATTGGGTTGCAGTCGTTCCTTGCAGAGTGCTAATCTGTTTGGAGGCGGTGTTCCTTTCGCCACGCAGTTCTTCCTAGTCTCATTCAAAATGGCAGCCTTTCTGAAAAACAAAACAAAAAATGGGGCGAGCGTTGAAGCTGGTTTCTGAGTTCCCAGGACTAAGTCACATCCTGTGGCAGGTGCTGATGTGCAAGCACTGATTTTTATCTCCCTTTGAACAGGGTCAGAAAAGCACTGTGTGTGGACGGTAGATGTTTGTACGTAAAGGGAATGACTGGGGTGAGTTTCTTGTCTGCCTCTTGTAGATATTTGTGACCATCAGAATAAGTTCTCTACCCCCAAAATGCTGTTGTAGGAGCACACAGTTGGTTACCCCAAAGCATCCCACAGTTTTCGTTTGTTGGTGAGTTCTAACTTTGGTGATTGTGTTTCGCACACTGCCATTTGTGATGATTGCTACTGATTGTCTGTGCAACAAGATCTCAAATCTCCCAGGTGACAAACCTCCATGCTTTTCCATGAAGTTGTTCCTGGGCTAGGTTAGTGGAGGTGAGAGGATCTGTCCCAAGTGTGGGGCTCTGGGCTGAATAAGAGGGAAAGCAAACATCCACCCTCTGCTCCCTGACTGGTGTGTGACCAGTGGCTGACACTCCTGAAGCCTGAGCTTCCTCTGTGCTGAGCTGAAGTAAACCCCTTTTCAGGTGATGTTTTTCAGATACTTTGTTGCAGCGATGAGAAAAGTAACTAAGACATCTGCCGAAAGATAGGACGCTTGGATCTGAAACATGTTCCACAAGGAGACATTTTCATTCTTAGCTTTTCAATAGCTTCTGGGAACAGAATTTTCTTTGAAGACAGATTGTACTGTGAATGTAGCAGCAAGGCAGCCATTGGTGCTACAGAGCTGAGGACAGTGGAAACTTCTGAATTCTGGTGTTTCCATAGAAGAGGAATGGCTGCCCGGGGGCCACATGAAGTCTCCTCAGAAAGGAAGCCATGAGTTAGGCCTGAAACTAGCACTCATCACTTTTGGGATACTCTATGGTCTCCTTTATCTAGAAGGCAGCCTTTGAAGGGCTTAGGTGTCTCTACTCAAAAGTACAGATATAACATCTGTCTACACCCAGATTTCAGAAGTCAAGTCTCATAGGAGACTTGAGTGTTCGCCATGCAGATTAGGTCTCTATGGAACCTAACTTGGATGTATCATCTGAAGCATGTCCACCAGGAATGATACAGGTATAGAAGCACGTTAATGGTGACGGATGCTCCAAAATGATTCCGTGCCTTCAGTCAAGCAATTCCACGAGAAAATGGTCAACAGATTTCAGTTCTACTCATTTGTATCCCTCTGATTGTTGTATAATGCAACAAAGCCAGGCAAAAATAAGACAACAGGGGCAAAGGAGGTGCTGCAGTTAAGAATGTTACTCTACAAGCATGAGGAACTGAGTTCAAATCCATAAAAATCAGACAAAAACTTTTGCATGCCTATAGCCCTAACATTTTGGAGACAGAGACAGGCAGATTTCAAGAGCCTCCTGACTCAAGAGACTCCTGAACTAATTGGGTGACAAGCAGCAAGTTCAGTGAGAAACTCTTTCTGAGCCAGTAAGGCAGAGGACCAAAACAAGAAGACACTTGGCCTCCTATTCTGGCCTCCACATGTGTACAACACACACATAAATGCGCACACACACATAGTTGGCAGTAGGTGGTTTGAATTTCTCATACATACTTTGCTTCTCAGTCTTACACCAACTCTGAAAGCGGAAATTCATAATCACATTTGATTGCTTCATTTCAGCTATCGCTGGATGCATGTTTGTTATTTTTAAACCACAGGCAGTTTTAAAAGGCTTCAAAAAAAGATTTGTGTAAATGTTTTCTTTATGCATGATTTCCAAACAAAGGAGGGAATTAAAAATAGGTTTGCCTACTTGCTGTTCGTCCCTTGACTCTCTTTCTCATAAAGAGGATATCTCTTGGCCAGGCAACAGTGACACATGCCTTTAATCTCAGCCCTTGGGAGGCATAGGCAGGTAGATCTCTGAGTTCGAGGTAAGCCTGATCTACAGAGTGAGTTCCAGGACAGCCAGAGAAGCCCTATCTTAAAAAACAAAACAAAACAAACAAACAAACAAACAAAAAACCAACATCAAAAAAAGGAGAATGTCTCCTTGATCTCCTCTTTTAGACAGGTTTTGTTCACCTTTTTAGACATATAAAATGTTATAACTTATAAAAACCATCTTTGCGGCAAAAATGATTGATTTGGTAAAGGTTGCATAGATTTCTACAAAACCTGGAGGAGGTTGGAAAGATGGCTCAGTGAGTAAGAACATTTGGTGTGGAGACCTGCGTTTAGATCCCTAGCACCCACTTAAAGAACAGGGTTTGGCTGCACAAGTTCCTGTAACACCAGCACCGGGAAGGAGAGACAGAAAAATTACTGGGGCTCACTGGCCGCCAGCCTAGCCCTGGGTTTAGTGAAAGACCGTGTCTGGAAAGAGTACCATGAATAGTGGATAGAGCATGACACCGTGTGTGCTCCTATGGTCTTTGTATGTGTGCACAGAGGCACTCAAACGTGTGCACATGCCCCAGAGACACACAGACAGACACAGACACACACACACACACACACACACACACACACACACAGGTGTGGGGAGAGAAGACCTGGAGACATCCGTGTCTCCAAGTTTCGTTCTTGTGTTAATGAATGAACCAAATCTGCTTTGTTTCTCATAAGTGAGAAGATATTGATTTCCGTGCTACAAACTTGACTTTCATAGTTATAATTCTAAACGCTCTGATAAGAAATTTTTCTTATTTAAAAAATATATTACTTAGTATCCACAGAGTAGCTGTTACCCTTGGTGAATTATTGGTATCCTGCCACTGTCTGAAAAATGATTTCTGTTAATTGTACAGCACGGTGTCTCCAAGTTACCAGAAGGAGGAACCCGCTGTTTCTTAGAACCTAGGATGACTTCTATCTGTGTTCTTCACACAGCGGAGGAAGTCACAGACCTGAAGAGACAAGCAGTAGAAGAGATGATGGACAGAATTAAACGGGGAGTTCATCTTAGACCAGTTAACCAGACAGCCAGACCCAAGGTAAAGGTCCATGCGGCTGTCCACACCATCTCTGTTTGCCTTTGGGTCTACAGAGCTGGGGCTATGAGCGGGTGGGTATTTTGTCTTCATGTATGACTGACTGTGCATTGCTGTGTGTATGTCTGGTATCCCATGAGGCCAGAGAGGACAGCAGAGACCCTGGATTTTGAGTTACAGGTGGTTGTGAGCTGCCATGTGGATGCTGGAAATCAAACCCTGGTCCTCTGAGACAGCATCCGGTACTCTTAATTGCTGAGTCATCTCTCTAGTCCCTTTTTTTAAAAAATGTAAAAGTTTAGAATTTGAAGAAAGCTACATCAAGACTGACTGCTGAGGCTTGGAAGACTGAGGTGTCCTAAAAACTTTCTCTTCTGAGTAAGCCTGTTTAGAGGGCTCTGTCACTGCGGGGTGAGCCTGAACTGGTTTGGAAGAGGTGTCGAGTTGTTGCCCAGGGTTGCCATCTCTTCCAGAGCTGCGTTGATGAACGTCATCATATCAGACAAGTAACAGTTGAGAGCTGATTCCTTGTTCTCTTGTGAGTTTCTGAGCCTCTGCTCTGTGTCCAATACCGATGTGGGCATCAGGGATAAGGCAGACAACACCCTTACCCCTTGGAGGTTTTGGTGTGTGTGTGTGTGTGTGTGTGTGTGTGTGTGTGTGTGTGCTCGCGTGCGCACGTGCGCGTGCGAGGAGCACCACACAGTAATAGTGGAAGAGAACTAAGGCCAAATAGAACAGGTAGGCTAAGCTGTTTTGCCTGCCTGCTTGCCAGCAGCCGCCTCCTGAGAAGCAGCACAGAAAGGGACCCATGCTGAGAATACACCGCAGGCCTCCTCCCTCCCGTGGCTGTCTGTCCCATTCAAACAGGCCCAGTAATAGTTTTTGAGATTGCTCTTGAAACAAATACTTTCTCCTCACTCAAATGAGATGTGGATAGACTTCCTTCTTTGTTCCTCATACTCCGTGGCTTGCTTCTGTTTTCCTTCCATTTTGCTTCTCTTTTGTGAGCATGTGTGTGCATGAAGGTACATGTATCCCCTTGTGTCTGTGTATGTTTGTGCAGATTCACCTATCTGTGGGTGTGCTTGCTCATGCATGTGGGGTGAGGCAAGGGAAACCTGAGGAGCTCCTCACAGGGTCTCTTGTTGATCTGGAGTCTGCTGATTAGGCTAGGCTGGCTGGCTACCGAGCCCAGGGATTTTCCTATTTCCACTTCCCCAGGGCTGGGATTATAAACTAACACACCACTGCACTCTTTTCAGTGGGGATCAAATCCTGATTTTAAAAAATGGAAATGGGGTCAAATTTTTTTTTATTGATTTTATTGAGCTCTACATTTTTCTCTGCTTCCCTCCCTGCCTCTTCCCCTCCCCTCCAATCCTCTCCCATGGTCCCCATGCTCCCAGTTTACTCAGGAGATCTTGTCATCTTCTACTTCCCATGTAGATTAGATCTATGTATGTCTCTCTTGGTATCCTCATTGTTGTCTAGGTTCTCTGGGATTCTGATTTGTAGGCTGATTTTCTTTGCTTTATGTCTAAAAGCCACTTTTGAGTGAGTACATATGATATTTGCCTTTCTGGGTTTGGGTTACCTCACTCAATATGATGTTTTCTAGCTCTATCCATTTGCCTGCAATGTTCAAGATGTCATAATTTTTTTTCTGCTGTGTAATAAGTACTCCATTGTGTAAATGTACCACATTCTCCTTATCCATTCTGTGGTTGAGGGACATTTAGATTGTTTCCAGTTTCTGGCTACGACAAATAATGCTGTTATGAACTTAGTTGAGCACATGTCCTTGTGGTACGATTGAGCATCCTTTGGATATATACCCAAAAGTTGTATTGCTGGGTATTGAACCTTGTTTTCTAATTTTCTGAGAAATCGCCATACAGAAATCCAAAGGGGCTGTACCACTATGGACTCCCACCAGCAATACAGGAGTGTTTCCTTTTCCCCACAACCTCTCCAGCATAAGTTGTCATCAGTGTTTTTGATCTTGGCCATTCTTTCAGGTGTAAGATGGATTCTCAGAGTTGTTTTGATTTGCATTTCTCTGATGACTAAGGATGTTGAGCATTTCCTTAAGTGTCTTTCAGCCATTTTGGATTCCTCTGTTGAGAGTTCTCTGTTTAAGTGTTACTCCATTTTTTATTGGATTATTTGTTCTTCTGATGACCAATTTCTTGAGGTCTTTGTATATTTTGGTGGGGTTATTTTTTTAAGTAAATTTTATTATTACATTTGAGTGTGGGTGTGTGTGGGTGTGTGTGGGTGTGTGTGTAGGGGGAACCAGAGGACAACTTGGGGGAATCGGTTCTTTCCTTTCCCACATGGGCACAGAATTGAGCTCAGGTGGTCAGGTTTGATGGCTCCAGCTCCCAGGGGTGTTAACACTCTTCTGTAGGTGGTATCCATCTGAAGTATTTGTCCTCCTGATGTAGTCTTACTGTGAAAGACCCATCTATCAGCTGCCCTTTCTGGAACTAAAAGAGCCATAGAAATCCTTTACCCAGGCTCAATAAGAGTGCTTGCCATGCAAGCTTGGGGACCTGAGTTCAGGTCCCCAGCACCCAACTGTGAATGCCTGTAACCCTAGCACATGCACAGGGTGGGGGAGGCACTAGAGAGCCTGGGGCTGGAAGAGAGAGCCGAGATGGAAGGAGCAAGGAGGTTTGCTGACTGCCAACATGGCCAGAAACCAAGTATGGTGAGAGACCTGTCGCAAGGGAGCAGAGTGCAGAGCAACACATACTCCTTCCACCCCTACAAAGATCACCAACAACTTATCACATAGGCATCTCCGTTTGGGGTCAGCGAAATAGGTGGCTCAATCGGTTAAAGTGATGTGGGATGTCCTTCTGTATATGTGCTGCTTCTATTGATTAATGAATAGAGCTGCTTTGGCCTATGGCAGGGCAGACTATAGCCAGGCTAGAAGAGATATAGAGAGAGTAGGTGGAGTCAGAGAGATGCCATGTAGCTGCCCACGGAGAAAGATGCCAGAGAACCTTACTGATAGGCTACAGCCTTGTGGTGATGCACAGATGAATAGAAATGGGTTAATTTAAGATGTAAGAGCTAGCTAGAAATACACACAAGCTATTGGCCAAGTAGTATTGTAATTAATACAGTTTTGTGTGATTATTTGGGTCTGGGGGGCTGGGAAACGAAAGAGCAGTCTCCTTTCTACATTAAAGCACTTGCCACCAAGCCTGATGACCCATATTTGAATTCTGGGATCCACATGGAAGAAACATCTCCTGCCAGTGGTCAGCTCCCTCCCTTTCCCCCCCATATCCTTAATAAAAAGTTTTTAAATCTTTCATATTTTAAAATCAAATCATTCAGTGATTTCTTCTTCCCTTTTGAATTGCAGCCAGACTCCTTAAAAGGCTCAGAGAGTGCAGTGGACGAGCTGAAGGGAATCCTGGTAAGAGTCACCGTTTGTGTTCCGGGGTAGTAGTGGAGAATGTTTTCCAGTCTGACTCTTTGCAGATGGTTGTTTCTGGTGTTTTATGTCCACTGATTATTAGGGTCATGTCTTTGGAATATTTGCTGGATTGTGCGTGTGGCTACCTCCAGCACATGTGTCAAATGCCTTGTTTGCTATTACTGCACTCCACTCCCAACCTTGCTGCAGGACGGTCCAGTCTCTGGCCCCACCTGAGGACCAGCTCCTGTTTCTGATAACAGAGCTGTAATAGACCCAGTGTTTGCACTGAGGGAGGAGATTGGAACACCTGACACCTACAAGTAAATCTGAGCTTCCAGCCTACGATGGCCTCCTGTTGAGGGGGCTAGTTCCCATCTGCTTGTCCTCATATGCAGCCCTGGCTGGCTTAGAACTTGAAATAATCTTGTGTTTGCCTCCCAAGAACTGGGATTATAGGTGTACACCACCGTACTCTTTGTATAGGGTGTTGAAGATCTATCCCAAGGCTCCAAGCCTCCTAACTAGGCCAGCATTGTATCGGCTGAGCTAGAGTTCCAGTTCCCTGAAAGTCTCTATGTCCCCGATTTCATCCTCGGAATGTACGTCCTGTCTGCTGGTGAGCACACCTCCTGCTCACCTCCAGCCCTGTGTCTCTTTTCCAAGTGGGAGCTGTGGCTGGTGGGGTCGCTGTTGGCTACCCTCTCCAGCAGTCACTAGGAAGTGCTTCAGCCTGAGCTCTATTTCAGACTCATTCCAGCCCGACCCCAGTTATTATGCATAGTAAATCAACAGACATGGGGCGGAGGAGGTGCGGGAACAAGCCCTCCCCTGTTTGTTGTTACTGTGCTAATTAAGCATCGTGTAGACATCCACATAATGACGGTAAACAGCATTATTTTCATCGAGAATGACTTTAAGCAGTAGACTTCACACAGAATGGTTTAATTAGTTTGCTTTAGTTTTAAGTGAGTGGGATTAGCCCTGAAGAGCAGTGTATCACTGGCTAACAGTGGTGGTCTACCTACAGAGTTACGGATTAGAACGCCCCCAGGACGCAGCTATTACCCCATGAATCCTATGATGGGAAGATTTTGTTGACCAGGGTTCTGCCCCCTGTGACAGCCCCCTTTGTTGCTTTTTATTCAAATGCTAATTCCTGTGGTTGAGGACATCCCTGGTACCCTATGAGAGTTTTGGTGTTGAAGAGTCAACCATATTGTTTGACTCGTTAAGATTTTGATTTATAAAAAAAAAAACTACGTTTGATTGTTAAAAAAATACATCAGTGGTAAATAGGGGTTGATGGTAGCAAGTTTAATAAATTTAACATCATCGTGTGCATGTGTGCCTGTGTGTGTATATGTGTGCATGTGTGTACTGCACACATGGTAAGCTTCTGCTTTATCACTGATTTACATCCACAGCTTAAATATCACTTTTCAGTATAATATCCACTATAATTTTATATTATTTCCTGTAGGTAGATTTGGAGAATTATTTACTATTCGTGAAAAATATTTTTAGAAAATTCTTTCATCCTTGTCCAGGGTTTGTTCTTAGACCTCTGTCTTTTCTGATATTCATGTATCACTCGTCGTCATGATTCTGGAATAATATTTCTTTGCATTAATTTTTTTAAAGTGGACTCTGGTCCTGGTCCTCTCCCCCACCTCTTTGTCATTTAAAAGCCACTGTATGAGGCACTGACAATTTCCAAAAAACAAGCAGATAAAAGTTCATCTTCAGATCTCTTCTGTAGCTCCAAGGGACACCATTCTGAGGAGGTGCAGCAATTGTTGGCCAGTATCTATTTGTCACCCGGCAGTTCTTAGTAGGGTGACATTTTTATATCATGCAAAACACACTGAGTAGTGTTTTAAAGTAGTTAGACTACTATTTAGGGTTTCGATCTACCTCTAAAACTCAGGCCTGTCCCCGACTTCCTGTGGGACCCGACCACAGCCCTGAGCCTCACTGGGTTCCATTGCTTGTAAAGTGAGGTGACTGTGTGTGCCACATGGCTTCCCAGCCTGCTTCTGGCTGGCACGTTTTATGAGTCCAATAGAGAAGTCAGACACAGAAGTAGACTGATCGCAGGAGCTTAGCGAGCCGAGCTTGTCCGGGCAGAAACGCTCTGTCCTCCAGCTGCCTGTGCCGCTGAGCCCTACTCCTCCATACATAAGCTGCATCGACCATACCAGTCAGTAAAGGAACAAAGAGCTGGGGGTTCAACTTGGAAAATAGATTATTTTGGCACCCGGCTTATCACGGCCAGGATTTGGGGGGAAATAATACTGCTATCCAAAGGGAGAGCTGAAGGGTCATGGAAAAGATAAATTTAATAACAGTAGATAGCACATAATTTCCTTCCCAACAGCCATTTCCACTGGGGAAAATGATACAGTGGCCTTGAGAGTCAAACAATCTGAATGCTCTACAAGTTATTTTCATAGTGAGAACCGTACGGTTTTTAAATAGCTACTCACAAGTGTTTCAAATGGTAAGTTTCCTAGAAGCTTAGATAGAAATAGTGTGAGGATGCTTGTTCTTTGCATTCTTTTCGAGTGTGTGGAAAGTGGCCATTCATTCTCTTTAATTCCCAGGGACAGTCATACCTCACTGTATCTCTCTAGCAACAGGTAGATACAGGCCTACAACCCAGTGAACCAAATCATCTCACTCCTGAACTTAAATGAGCTGTTGCAAAATTGCAAGTCGTATTCCGTCTGGATATTTTATAAATCTTTGTAGCAAATGAAAAGCAAAATGCTGCATTTCCAGGGAGAAAAGTGCCACATGCCCAAATAAACTAAGAGTCGTCTTCAAGCATGTCAGGCTTGAATCAGTTCATTAGGCAGCTAACAGAAGTCACAGGCTCCAAGCCTTGTTGGCCACCCCACCCTGGTCTGTGTGTAAACAGGTGTGGTCCCTGCTTAGAGACAATGAAAGCATCATTGTAACCTTTCTATGAGAGATTTGTAACTATCTGGTTTCCACACGGAACTTTTTTGTTGTTTTATGATCTAGAGAATTCCCATGTCTAAACAATAGGATTCTAAGAACCCTTCTGGAAACTGGAAGCTCAGAGGGAACAGAAATAAAACCTGTAGCAAGTTCATAGCTGATACAGAGGCTGGGCTGGCTACAAGCCATACTGAACCAAAGCCTCTTCTTACCCAGATGTGCAATCGGGCAGGTTGTTGCTTGCTTCCTCTGATGATTGTATCTTGTGTCTTCTGATCTCCGCAACCCTGCTTATGGTACAACTGGGGAGGAGCACTTCACGATGAGCTACACGCTCACCTCTCAGTGAGAAGTTTATCACTGTGCTGTTCAGACACTCGAGTGGGGAAGGAGACGGGAAGCTGCTCCCCTTGCATAGACTTCAAGAAGGGCCTGGATGGGGAACCATGGCTCTCTGGTCTTTGTCTTCTTAGAAAGCCAAGGCCAGTTCCAGGTGGAGCCTAACTTGATGATCTTTTGGTGCCTGCAGTATGTTCTGGGCACTGGAAAAGTGCATCTGTGTTCTTGTTTGTCAGGACCATGGAAGCCAGTCCATCCCTATAGGACCACAGCATTCCTCTCCCACACCACACCAGTGTCACTGTAGCTCAGCCTGATCCTTCTGCAGGTAGACCACTGGGGGCCCTTATGTGCCTTTTTCTCAACCACAGCCGTTCCACCTGGTGTGCAGCCAGGGTCACTCACTCAGTCACAGGCCACACAATTCTCTAGCTCCAGAGGATTTGTGCTCAGTAGTTCACGGCTCCTGTCTGAAGATACCCTTCCAAGGTGAGTGAACTGTACTCCTTCTCTCCTTCGTGGACACGTGTCAGCATCTTCAACACCCGTGGGCAAGTATCTCCTTCCGGTTGACCTTTGTGGTCATCTGCCTACAAGCTGGTCTTGTATTGCTTGCTCTTCTGAGATGAGGTGACAGTCGCCACCATCAGCAGCATCTTTTTGAGTACTTTGAGGATGCATGAGCATATTTGAGAAACCCTTATGCATTTGTGTGTAATTTGTTTTGTTTCCTAGTTCTGTTCAGATTTTGACGATGTTTTATTGTTTTGCATTTTATGTTCTTTTGTATATTATATTAACCTTTTTGTTTTCGTTTTAGGGGACACTTAACAAATCCACTAGTTCGAGAAGCTTAAAATCCCTTGGCCCCGAGAACAGTGAAACTGAGTTAGAGAGGATTTTACGCCGCAGGAAGGTGACGGCAGAAGCAGATAGCAGTAGTAAGCCACTTCGAATCCTTCCTGCTCCTTCTCTTCTTCCTTAAACTCCTTTAGTGCGAAATCATCTCTTAAAAAGTCAGTATTGAATGTTTAGGGTTTTTTAATGTGAGTGAGAAGTACTGGCTGGGCAAAGAGTGTCTGCGGCTCCTCTTGGGATGCTCACGTGGGCATCCGCATCTTTATTTGTAGATCTGACCTGGTTAGTGTGAGAACAGGACAAAGCCCCGTATAAAGGCATTCAGGGTGGGTTTTTCATACATGTATACAGAGTGTTTTTTTATCATATTCGCCCCAGTTTCTTGTCCCCCTCCTTTCCACCGATCTTGTTTTTCTAGCTTGTCACCCATCTATTTTCATGAGTTTTGTTTGCTTTTGTAGTTTGGTTGTTTACGTGTTTCATTATTGCTATGTGCAGGAGTATCAGTGAGGGGGCGTTGTTTACAGGAACATGGGCAGCTGACCAGTGGTCATACGGCTCAAGAACATTCTCCTTCCCTGGGGCCTTAAGCCCTTCCCTCATCAGGGTGGATTTTGTCAACAATACAGTGTCAGGTGGAGGTTCTAGAAACAGGCATCCTGAGTTCCAGTCCCAGCCTGTCACTTGCCCATTGCTTGTCCCTAGGGTAGCTATCCAACCTTTCCGTCCCTCAGTTTCCTCGTGTATCTCTAGTGACTTTGTGACATTGTTCTCGAGATGAGGTAGTGCCCTGCCCACCCCCACTTTGCCTGGCACAGTTGGTTTTGCAGCTTTAGTGGGAATTACACTCCAGTGACAGCAAACACAGGGAAATCATCTTCCTTTTTCATACCCCTTTCATTCCTGGATCTGGCTGAACCCCCCGAGGGAAGGACTCCAGCTCTGCCCCCACGAGTGAGCGCACCGTTACCACTGCGTGTTTGGGTCATCATTAGCCATGTCTTATATCGCAGGATCTCTTCCAGGCTTTGGGTGGACACAGTTGTCTCAATGATTTTGGCGATGGCCATTAACCGAAACCTTAATGAAGGTTCCCCATGGGAGCTAGGCAGGAAGCTGGTTCTGAAAAACCACCACAAAGGAAGACTAATAATCAGCAACCAGAGGTCCTGGGCTGAGCTTTTTTAAGACTCAGCTTGGTCGAAAACAGTCCTTGCAAATGTTTAAAATCTATAAAATGTCGAATCATATTGACCAACTTGATGTGGAAAGGAACAGTTTTAAAGATAAGGTTTTGCTATATAACCCAGATTGGTCTTGAACTCATATAACCCTCCTGCTTCAGCCTCCATAGGGCTGGCATTATAGGCTTGACCCACCCTGCCTGGCTGAACTTGTTAGAATATTCTCAATGGAACTGTGATGGTCAAGCTCTGCTTTTCATATTGTTTGACTCAACTGAGTGATTCCTCAAATGAAAATTGGTCAGATATGCAGTCAGACTCATAAACAGATGAGTCATCCATCCAAAGAGATAGTTCAATCCCCAGAATCCATACTTTTAAATCCACGATCTGTAGTCCAG